TTTTCTTATAATACTAATAGCTATTGTTTTCGTTTTAAGCTGTAAAATTATAGTAAATGAGTGCTTATTTTTTAAGAATTGTTTAGGTTTTTCATACATTTATTTCACTAGGTTTCATTTTAATTTAAGGTCATTACGGAAATGAATTGATCTTGTATGTAGGTTAGTTATCTTTGTTTTCTGTCTCTGGACAAAATATAAATTGGATACTTCCCTCAGATAAAATTAATAAAATAAAAAATTAAATATAAATAATAAATAGGAATAGATTTCATCAATAAGAAAATAATCAAAAAGTTCATTTTTGCCCTACGAAACTGGTTTATAAATTTAATTGTATTGGTTTTCTTGGACATACGAATAAAACCATTAATTCTTACAGAATTTTTTAACGAGTTCTTGATAATCTCGAATTAATAAAGTTATTTTGAAAGTAGTTCAATTTCTAAACAGTATAAATATTACATATGTGGATTTTCGTTTTTTTGTTAGAAATTCTATAGTTGAATTTGCTATTGTTGTATTTTTACATATAATAGTTTTACATTTTAATAAAATAGTATTAGTTCTCATATAAAAATATTATAGCATATTGGACGTTTTTGTGTAAAAAATTATATATTTGCAGTAAAAACTGAATTTTTATAAAAAAATATATACTGTATTGATACTGTTAGACGATTTGTTGAAGAAGTTAAGTTAACGATATTTTTTTCTTGATTATAATAATTGTATGATCATATTTTATATCCTTACACCAATAGAATATGTTTTATTTAAGAAATATATATATATATATATATATTGGATAAAAATATGTTTTAAAATATCAATAGGTTTTGCACAAAAGCACTTGAATGAAAATATTAAAATTAATGCATTTTATATAGTATATTATGTAGTATACATAGTGACGATATGAATATTTATCATCTGCATGGAATAGGTAATCGAATATCATCTACAATATATATTATATTCAACTTTAATATTAAAATGCATTTTAAACAAAAAATATCTACAGTATTATATTCAATGTATAGTTTATTGCATGGTATGGTCAATTTTTTTCTCCACTCAAATCATTATAAAAATTCTAATGTTTATAGAAAACGATGGAAAATTAAACGTTTAAGGTTTATCAGTTAAACTTATCCATTCAAATAAATAACATTATATTTAAAATTAAAAAATTGTTTAAAAAACATAGACTTATAAATCTATCATTTATAATGCAATAATCTTTTTCAATACCTTTTGGGGCAGTAAAAAAAAAAAAAAACTAAGGTTTCTTTTTTCTTTCTTTCATTGATTGAAAAATAAAATTCATTACTTTAAATTTCCTTTTTTTGAATTTCGCAGTAATTCTATAAAATTCTGAATGCTGTTCAAAATTGATTTCGAATCGTTATATCATTATACCGTTATAGATAAGTACTGGTTATAAAAAAACTAAATATCTTTCTTTTGCCGTATACAGCATAAGAAATCAGATATTGTTAAGCACCTGAATTTGTCAACTCTGGTATACCAGAGGTATATATATAAACCATTTTAATATATATTTATCTATAACGTTTATTAATGTCAATGTGGTGATGTAAAAAAATTTTATCGAATGATTTTTTTCAGAATTTCTAAAATGTTTTAAATTAAAACAGAAATAATGCATCCACAATACAAAGGAGATTAAATATTTATTTATTGATATATTATGGATATATGAGTAATATATATAATATACATGAACTTATGACGACTTCATAAGATGGACTTCTAATTAAAATACAACAATTATTCCTCGAAAGCTTGCAAAAGCATAATGCATATTAAGCGAATTGGTGGTGAATCACCGCTGTGTTTGTACCACCACTACTGTAGTGGTTCGTCGGAGAAGGACGCGCCGAGGAAGGTAGGCAGTGAAGATGTCTTGCGGTAGGGACTGCAACCACACTAGTGGTACCAGTCGAGGTTTTATTTCAACAATGCGGCTCTCGTGGACAGAGCGCAGAACGATGTGAAGTCTTGACGAGAAGTGGATTGAGAACATGGAACAATGCTAGTCGCGTCCTGTACCGCGGGGATGCTTCTGCACGCGGTGAAGAAGACGATGGTGAATGGACTTGGTCCACAACCGTTGGCCACGGTTTCTTGCGGTGTGCCTCGGACTGATTCGTGACTCCCGGCCGTCGGTCCGGGCATGAATATTGTCTTACAATGCCACTTTCTGTGGGTTGCGGGAGTCAATCCTGTCGACCTCAAGGGCGGGGTACGACCAAGGAGCGTTGCGGCCGCACTCGAAACCGTCACCACGCATCCCGGACCAAGGAGCTGGTTAGGGTTATCGGCATCGCGCATCACCGCAACTGGTAAGTGCACAGAAATATTACGTCGACACATGGTCGTGTTGTGTATGGTCATCGATCACTATATTATTTGAGGTCGAAAAAAAAATTCCAGTATGCAAAATATTGATCTAGGACAAATGGACATAGCCGTTTGGACGTGGGGACAAAAGGACGTAAAAAAAATATATATATATCAGTAAATAAAATAAATAAATTATTTATACTTATTATAATATGTAAATTTTAATGTTAAAATTATTCATTCAAAAAACTTCACCATCACAATTTGAATTTATTATTGACATCTTACATGAATGCAGTTTGTACACAACTAACACGGTTATAGATGTGTATTGTCGTGTCTCGTGTATTATCGTGTTTCGATAATGTGTGATAATTATTACAAGTTGTAAAAATCAATAAGATATATATACTGGTATAAAAGGTACCTATTACCAAAACGATAAAATTCGATAAAGTTTGATATTATGATACGATACCATTAGTTATATTATGAATATAAAATATCAATGGCTTTATAACTTATATACTCGTATATATATTTTTTTTTGAAGTCCATTTGTCCTCACGTCCAAACGGCCACATCCAAACGGCTAAGTCCATTTGTTCCTATTCGGCAAAATATATATACAGGGTATTCCTGAAATGGTTAAAGAAACTAGCATACGCGTATTATCTGGAATGGTAGAATGAAGAATCTTTTGAAATTCTTTTTCTATAAATCTGGGTCTTATCTACTTATATTTATATTTGGAACATTATTTCGAATCTAAAAATTAATTATTGTGAAATATTCCTTGCACATTTCTCACGTGAATCCATGCGTGACATCGATTTTGGGCTTATCGCCCGTTTTTCACGCTCGAGTCGCCAGGATCAAAAAATGTGATGTGACACATCGATTTGTATGAGATAAATGAAGGTCAAATTTATTTGTTGTTATTTCACATATCTAATTAATTAACACGGTTTTTATTGTAAAATAATCATAATTAAACAACATCTATTTAGCAGATGCAGATGTAGCAGATCCAACGGACCTAGAAGTAATTCGGGAAAAAAATTAAATATCTAGTCATGACTAGAGGTACAAGAGACCACTCGATTCTGGGAATTATTTTTCCAACGAATAGAAAATTCCAAATATCTTGGGGCAAACATAAATAATCAAAAAAACATGCATAATGAAATTAAACTGAGAATATCCACCGGTAATAAAAGGTTACTACGCATTGGAAAAACGATTTCAATCAAAACTTCTGTCCAGACAATCGAAAGAACGCCTAAACTACTTTTTTACGTATGCATGCGAAACGCGATCAGCCACAGAAGGTGACGGAGGAAAAACGGCTTGCTTGGAAAGAAGAATACTTAGATTACAATTCACGGTGCTATAACAGAAGACGAAGTGTATAGAAGAAGAACTCATGGGGTGAATCGTACAACTGGTTTACCGAAAAACTGGAATCAATGTGAACTTAACGGGTGAAAATATAGAGATTTTTTTTTTTTTAATACGGAGAAAAACAAGATCATTATGCGTGCGCGTGTAGGTTCGGGGTGAACGTTTATTCGACTTTTCGTGGCACGCAGTAGTGAGTTTTCAATAAAAAGATCCCGTTGTCGGGAACGAACGTGTACTCTGTAGTCGAACACGAGCCTGCGATCGTAAGAGTCACGAATATCGTTCTTGCGCGAACCGTTTCTACGCGATCCGTTAGCGCGGAACAATTGTTTTCGCGACTCCAACGAAAACGGGATCTTGTCGCGCGTTCACACGGGTAGTGCAGGTGCGCACTTTGCGCTTACGCCAAGTGTACGCGTCGCAGCGAACACACGATCGGCAGGCGAATCCCGAGCTGACGGCGACCGGCGCGTTTGCGATCGCGCGTAACGTACGCGTTGCTGATCGTACGCGAGGGGGGGGGGAACACCATGTGCGCGTGTGCGTGTGTGTGTGTGTGTGTGTGTGTGTAACCGAATGGAAAAAAAAACTGCGCCTCGGAAAAGCTCCGGACTTCGCGCGCGCCGCGGAAGGTAGTTGTGCCGGTGGCCGCCGGCAGCGCACCGGGCGGTCGGTGAGCGGTGCTGGGCCGGGCGAAAAAGGCGCGCGCGTTCCTCCCCGCGCGCCGTGGACACGCGCTCTCGTACCATTCGCGTTCACACGGCGCGCTCATCACCTTCACCGGCGGCGCGCAATCACCTCCTCACTTCTCTGCCGCCGCCGCATCAGCAGCCGCCGCCGCCGACAATAACGTCCCGTCGATCACGCACGCCGGTCTTCCACGTACAATACTCACGACACTCCGTTCCGCCGACGAATCGTGCGTGTGCGCTGCACGTGTGAGTGAGCCAGCGAGCGAGCGTATGAGTGTTCTTGTCACAGCGGTCGTTGCGCGCGTGTTCCGTGCGCTTTCCGCCACCGTCGTCGCGGTCGTCTCGCCGGACTTTACTCGCACTTCGTCATCCCACCACCGCACATCATCGTCAAACGTTACCGTCACCATATAGTCACCACCGCAATTGTCGCCCCTACCATCACTCCCGCCACCACGCAACCTACGGCACCTAACACCATCACCACCAACACCACCGTAACCGTCGGTCACCATTGCCATAACCACCACCGCCACCACCAACATCATCTCCACCGTCACTGTAGCCGCGACGACCACCGTGACCCGTCCGCGCGAGTAACCGTTGCACGGTCAGCGGCCACCAAACGTAATAATATATTATTATTTTACTGCAAAACGATCGACTGATTACGGATCGTTTTAAGATTAACTCGACAAAGATTACTTTGTAATACCATTTTTACAGAAATATTTTACATTTTTGTGTTCTGTTGATATTCAAGCACGCTAGCAGGTCTGCTATAACGCATTCCCGTCGATTCACTAACGTTGAAGCTCAGCACCCACGACTCAACCGGTTTCGACTTGCCACACGCAATTGTCATCTCCGTCTCCGCTTTCACACATCCGATCGACCACATTACCTCCACGTTGTATTAGCGTCCTCGCAAACGGGCGCTAGAACAGACAGTCAATCAAAGGTTAGTAAATAAAAAAATTTAACTTGCGCAACCGTGTTTGGAAACGGCAAATTCTGAATAACACGGACCCGTAGACGGTCGAAACATATTTACTACGAAATTAAGTGTTATCCATTTTAATTGGTTCAGATGTTAAAACAACATTTTTAACTACGTAGGATCTGTGTGAAACACTTGGAAACTCGAAATCTTCAGTACTAAATGTAAATAATGGATTTATTATGTACAGAATAGTGAAGTCGATCGTTTCCGAGAGGTTTGGACGTTGTAGTTATTGTTCAGGTTATTGTTCATGGATTAAAATAAACAACGCATAATCTTTTGATGTACATCAATTAATTATATTCAAGCACCTGAAACATTTTCTAATGGGTTTAGGTTTTTTGCTATGATTTTGTAAAATAATTTTATACTTTTATCATTTATGTATTATTGATTTTTAAAGAAAATTGTTAAAATACATTATTTACAAATTGTACGTTAAACACGTATTGTACAATTGTAATCTTTAAAAGGTTTCCTAATTCACTAGTCTTAGAAATTTTAGGCGTGGGAATTTATGTTTTTATATGTAAATAGTGAGTGGTAAATGATTTATATATAATATACCATACATTTAAATCCAAGATATTAAATCAATTTAAAAGTGTATGAGACATCAATCAACCTTTGATTAAATCATTATTATAATTTAGTTAATAGGTATATACGGGTACATATATACTATACACTAAGAAAATATGTATTACTTAGAAGTTTAAATCTGCAATTTATTTAACAAATTTTTAATAGAATTTTAACCTCTTATTAAAGTTACACATAATTAAAATTAAAAACAAAATATTGGCTTTCAATAAATGTGTTAATTAATACAGTTATTTTCTAATTATTTACTGAAAATAATTGAGTTGAAATTATTTCTTTTATCTCAAAAGATGATTATTAGTTTTATTTCCTAGCATAGAACAATCATTTAACATTAGAATAATATAATTAAAAAATATTTCTTTTATATTTTATATAACATTAATAGCGATGTATAATAAATGTATTTTATTTGTCTTGTGTCATATAAGTGCAGTTAACGTAATTTGAATTAATAATTTTTAAGTTAATATTATATTTTTATGTTAATAATGTACAAAAAATAGTTTAACAGTTATATTTTTTAAAACTACATTAACAGTATAAATTACTAAAGGTGTATTCAATTTTTAAAAAAAAGAAACCATACGTTCATGAGAAGCCACGTAACATCTATATCATATATATGACAATAGATTTAAGTACAGTTTATTTAAAAATTGATGATAGAATATTACATTAAACACACAGAAAAGTAATTCTAAATTTATCTTTTGCAAATTTGTATAATCGATGTAAATTTTTATTATCTAAATAATTAATTTATATTTTTTAAATTTACAATCAAATTTAGCTTGTACAATTTATTTTTACTATTTTTTGCATTGAATTTAATTTTCGTTTGTGGTTTACATCAAAGAAAATTATAATTAATGAAGATTCTAATAATAGTTATTAGAATTTTTACAAAAAAAAAAAAAAATAATAATAATAATAATAAAATTAAAGTATAGAATGTAAAAATTTAAAATATGTTGTTATTTAACTACAATTATTCATAACAGGTTAGTTATAATATATTAACGTTGGAATTTAATTAAATATGTTTAAATATTGTAGTATGATTTAACAATCAAACATTTAGAGTATATCGACATACAAGATATTATATTAATCACTATCGAATGAGCATTAAAGTTTGATATCAATAGCATACCATAATAACTTCATAAATCATTTTGGAACTCTTTACTTATATTTTTATTTCATATTTGGAGCCCGTTTGGTTGTTGCGGTTCACGCAACAAGTAATAGCGTTTGTGTTCCTAAAATGGTGAATTGTCTTGACCTTTAACAATTGTAACGTGAAAAACTGAGAAACCGAAAAATATCAACGATTCGGATAAAATATAGCAAGCACAAAAACTTTATTTTATCAGATTTTCTACTTTGGTCCATAGTATAAACTCTTTCACGATTTCCGAAAACTGACAGAGCACGTACACGGTCAACACGTACGCTTTGAGTTTGGGGATTTCTAGAGGATGATGATAGAGGTAGAGGGTTTGAGACGTGAACTAAAAAGTCGGAGAAGTGAAAATTGTCATTCATTCATTCTATACAACGTGTAAGTGTACATCATGGATACATTTTCCCTTTGACCCCAAAAAAATAAAGTGACATCGCATAAGCCTCGTACCTTTTGAAAATGTAATACTCAAATATCTACGCAAATCATATAATATGAATATATATATATATATGTATATAAGCCTTGTACATACATGTAATTATTATTATTATTTCTCGGACAACAGTACGTGAATACAGCACAAATCAGGTGTATGAATCATGAAAAATGGATCTCGGGTTAGAGGGTTTTAAATACTTCATATCTTGACGAATACACACACATATACATATACGGTATATATTTATACATGTGTTTATGTTTTCAACAAAGGGATAACGATGGAAATTAAACCTCGCGTTCAACCATTGCCCATCGTAATGATTTTGATATTATAACGTTGCGAAAATAATGATGATGGCGCGCGAAGGGCAATCCGCTGCTGACTGTGTTATATGCACGTCAATTGTATTTTGTTCTATAGTATATACTAATAGTATATTATATATACATGTTTGTTATATAAAGAATAATAAATATATATATATATACATATAATCTATACGTTTCCAAAGTGTACATAAACTATATTCACACGATAGCAATTGAAATTAATAAAAACGACATCTAACCAACCATCTATCAATTTAGATATCCAACTGTTTCGTTATACAGATCGATATAAATCTCAGAATAAAACATTAGATTACAATTATTTTTAAGTATGCGGTTTAAAAAATTAGTTATTTCTCTCATGTGCTTAGTTCTAGATAGTATGTAGAATTTTTTTTTTTTTTTGTAGAAATTTAAAAACAAGTTTAAGAATTATTTTTCATAATTATATTTCTACTAATATATTAATATATGTATAGAAAATAATTAATTAAATTGAAAATGGTCTGTAGCATTCACGAATTTGTTTTGAGTTTTATTTTAATAGACTTTTTGAATAGTTTTACTTTAAATTAAAACCCCATACAATTGAAATAATACAATTTTTAAACCTCCAAAAGTAAAAATCGTTTTTAGTAACAAATAATTATGTTTTTATTATTATTTCTAAAGAAAACTTAAAATAAATAAAGCGTATCCTAAAGTGTAATTCTAGACTTTATTAACTTGATTGCAATTTATGTTAATGATTTTTTTTCATTGTTTTATAATCGTGTTTATAAAATTATATTATTACAGCAAATACTATAAAAAAATTAATACCTTAGTTTTGTATACTTTATTGGAAATACGATGTGTATAATGTCTTTATTTTATAGGAATTGTATTTTTCTTCTAATTTTGTCGAAAACTAATTTAAAAAACAATCAATAAATACTGGTGAAACTTCTATTAAATAATAATTTTCACTGTACCAGGTGTATAAAAAAACAAGTTTTATAATTAAAAATTTAAGTTGGTTTTAAAAATTGAAATTTAAGAGAAAAATATAAACCATTCGAATACGGAAAAGTTGTCAAATAAATTTTCATTGTTTACCTGTTGTGATGAGCGATTAAAGATATTCTGTGAAAAAAAAAAAACCCAATAGGGAAAATATAAACTTTTATAAAAAATAAATGCACTTTTCTTTTTTGTAGTTTACGATTGAACATGAAATATTAATGCTAATGTCGTATGTATTCTGTTTCTACGTTATATTTGTTCTCTTTGTAGTTTGAAATTTATATTGAATGTTGATAAATTATTTTATAAATACAACATACTTTTGAATTAATATCCTCAGGTATTGTAAGTTAAAATAAAGTATAAACAAATTATTTAGTTGGTAGTTATTTAATTTATAATGTTTTCTTTAATATATAAAATGCCATTATAAACTTTTAGTTTATATTTATATTTAAATATGATATAATGTATTGTGTGTTTAATTTATTGCATAGATGAATATAATTATTCTAATATTATCAGTTTTAAAAATTTATATTACAATTAAAGAATCTTTTAATGATGATATTATAATGTATTAAAATAATTCTCACATGCGTTTTTTATTTGCTTGTAAAAAACGTAGTTATTTTATGACGATATAATAAAATTGTTTTTTTGTTTGATTTTTCTTATAACTAATTTATATTCCTAAACTTAATTGGTATTCATTTTTTAGTATAGATTATCTTCAAAACTTCTTTTAGTTATCGTATTCAAAGAATAATTCAATGTATACGTATGTATTTAGAAACAATTATTATCTCACTGCGATGAATTAATTTTAATAAGTATTATGAAATATAATTTATAATAGTTAAAAGTTGATTATATTATATAAGAAACAAAAAAGAAAAATATTAAATTTATACTCCTAAGTTATAGTTACACAACAATGCGTTAAACTTTCACTAATTGATAAAATTATGAATAACTACAAGTCCCACAATATTGCTTTAAAGTTAGTGTCATTGTATTTTATCCTCAGTATTATTGTGCCTCTATCCTGTTTAAACTTCGGTTTACTAAATAGCTACAGTCAGTGTTTGACAGAATTTAAATTAATATAGTATTTCTCGGAAAAAATACTAAAATTAATCTACAAAGAAATATACCTATATTTGTATTTGTATTTTAACTCATTAAAAACCATTACGTACTATATATTTTTTTTATTTTTTCAGATTTTCATATATATATATATTAAATATCCATCTATATAGTAATACTAATTATCAAAGATACTAATTATTATTTTTTTAAAATAAAACAATGTATTTTTAAATGCTATGCAAAAGTAAGAATGTCTATTTTAAATAATTTTAATCTCTTATTATTACATTTT